TGAGCCAGAAGCTTTTGGTTGTTGATATCATCCTTCTGATGTTGGTTAGTTTCTTATTGTGTATTTATGTGTGTGGGGGAGGGGATAAGCTAGCATGAATTATGGGAATAGTGAGATTGATTATAACTTAGGTTTTGATATTATGTGTTTGCTGCATGATCTTACCATGGAGATTTTAGTGTTGGGGTGTTGCTGTTGTTTTAGTATTCTTGCACATATGTTATTAAATATGCTGTTTTGTTTTTATTGTATGCTGCCATGGGTGTTATGGAATTGGCAGCAAAAAAAAATTGAATAAATTTGGGGTTTTATTATCCTTTGAACTATTTTTGTTCAATTCAGCAATAACTATTTCCCCTTATTTGAAATCTAGTGTATAAATTTGTACTATGCACACAACACATTTGGGCTCCTCATTCCTGTTTTTGCCTTGTGGCAAAAACATATGAGCATTCTCACAGAAGTATGAATGAAGCATTGGCAGAAATAAGTTAATTAAAAAAAAGCAAGAAAAGAATTACTACTGTTTTCTGCTGTTGTATGGCTTTTTATGAGAACCTAGTTGGTCACCATGGAAATCAAGATCCTGGAGTGGTTTTGCCCAATCTAGCAAGATCCTTATGTTCTTACAGTAAATTTATTATTGATTTCCTGGGATGAAAATCCTGTTGTCAGGATCATTAGCTTAGCTAGTGGCAACAGCTGGGAACTAATGATAGGTTATTCAGAATTCTCTAATTATCCTGAGTTTGTGTGAACTGCTTTAGAACCATTGGGAACTCATTTTGTATGAGTCTAGATAGTTGAACAAATGAATGCAATCATATTTCAATATTATATAAGCTGTAAATTTACAGCTGGAAAGGATCCAATGAGTCATTGAGTACAGCCTGTTGACCTGAGGATATTTTCCTCATTGTTCTGGGACTCTTTAACAGAAAAAAAAATTTAAAAGTATAAATAATTCATTTAGCAAGAGAGATTTCTAACATGAGTCTATGGGGCTATTAATATAGTTTAGTGCTACGTGCTAATCTGTAGGAGATTTGAATTTGCTGTGATCACCTTTGTGGCTTCTAAAATAAGGCATCATATTTACTCAGTGTATCTCTTGTTTTTCCCCTAATCTTTCTCTGAAGAATCTCTATTTGAAGCTGTATTACTTATCCAGTATAGGTAATTTTACTGCAAGAATGATTGCCTTGAAAGAGCATTCTTAAAGATTAATTTGGTGTTGTCTTGACACATTTGACACAGTCATGTAAATAATAGCATTATATCCATTCTAACTGAACCTTACCTTTACTTTTGTTACATAAAACATTGAGTTAATGCCTTTCGGATCTGATGCAAAACCATTTGGTATAACGTGAATATACTGAAAACTTCTCCAGTTATTACAACTCCAACACAAGATATTTTAAAAGAAAAAGTTAAGCAGTGCAAAATTTACCTTTTCTCAAGATCATTTTAAAAAGCCTTTTCCCCCTTTGACCATATTAAAAAAAAATCAATTGGAAAACCTTTTTAATTAATCCATATCTTGAATTGATGATAAATAGAAACGTTTATTTTATTTCATTTAATTTAGATCAATCGCTCAATACACAGCCAATTTATAAATAGAATTACTGAATGAAAATATTTTCCATGACAAATACTTTGTACAGCAGAAGAACCTGGGAAGATATTAACTCAATCTGGTTTTTTCCCCTTCTTCCTAACATGCCAAATATAAATTTAGAACATTATTTTGCTTTCTCAACCTCAAGTGTATTTGCCTTATATAACATAAAGAGCTGCATTGCCAGCTTCTTTGACCACCTGCAAATATAGCATATGACTATAGGCAATTTTCTCCAACCTGTTGTTTTGCAGGTACTGTATATTAACCATGCTGTTTTTTTAATTATAGGAGTTGTGGTCCAACAATATAAAAGACAACTGGCAGGGGAAAGTTGCCCTATACCCAGTTATGTCATAGGCATCCACAGTAGCTAAGTTTCATCAAAATGACGGCACAAGCATTGTGACATCATGATGCACGTTCCACATCACATGCTTGCAGTGACATACTCCAAATATGTAAGAGGCACAGCATCAGCCGTTGCATACATTACATCATTTTCTCCCTTTCCCCGTCCCCACTGACATCAGAGAGGTATGTACCAATCTTTTAAACATCCAAGCAAAAAGAACGCCATTAGAGAAGAACAGAGCCAAGTCTATCCATTTGACTATAGGACTAGGTTTCCATCTTAAATCTACCAGGATATAGAAGCTCATTATGACGTAAAATTAAAATGTATTTTTTTCTTCAAAGAATATATTTTGTTACCTATTTTAAATAACATGAGAAAGTCATGACATTGGATATTTCTAAAAAAAAAAATACTTGTAGATAATACCAATGATGGCTTATCCAAAATTAAATCCTAATCTCTTAGTTTCTTAAATATTCTCTTGTTGCACATTTCACAACAGTGGATTCTCACTTTAATGACTAGGACATAGGTAACCAATATAGATGCATATGGATGTATATTCAAGTTGTAAATGCATAATTCTTTGCATTTTATGGAAGACAATCTCCAGCAATGCCCTACATATGTTATCATCTTTAAATATCTCAACTTGAAGATATGGATTTCACAGGACAATTCCACAAGCTTGTCTCTAGCTAAGTGGATCCCCTCTATAAAACTCTATTGGTTTGGCCCTTCTTGCTAAGGATTTGGGTATTTGCAATAAGATTGAATAATATGTGAACCAATAGCTAGATGACATTAACAAGACCAAACGACAATGAGATATTCAGGGCAATAGATGCACAGGGCTTAGGTGCACATCTGCAAAGATAGAGTCTTCCTCATGCAACTTATATCTTTTCTCCCCACACACACACACACATCATAACCAGCAACATTTCATTGCCATGAAAACATCCAACCATGGTTCTTCCATGGCAATAACATTCCTCTTTTGCTTCTCTAAGCCCCACCTGTGCTAGAGTAAAGAAAGAGAAAAATGGAAGCTACACCACACCCTGTTGTCCATATGTATTCCTGAGTGAATTAATAGAGAGTGAATTAGGATCCAAACAAAAAGAGAGAGAAAACAAAACACAAATGATATCAACACTTTGATGGCCACCAAAGAACAGTGACTTTTTGAATCACTATTGCAGAACTCAAAATGCTGCCCACTTTTTTCTTCCTGAGCCATGCGCCATTGAAATATTGCTCTCTCGCACATACTCTTCTGTACATTGTGCAGAGTTCCTGTCCAAATTACCCTTGCAAGTGATATTCTTTAGAAGAGTTAGTCCACATTTTAGAAAATCACCCGACAAACTAAGCTTGACTTATTAAAGAAAAAATGCTTAATAGTGCCTGTTAAGGATTGGAATGAAACATATGCCTCCATTTATTGCAGAGACCAGCTTGTTGACTCATCTACCAGTCACCCCTGCATGATTTAATCACCAAAATGTATGTGAATATAAATATAAGATTTGGAGAAACATGTAACCCAGTAACATGTCAACCATTTGGTTGTCTCAACTTTTACAAAGTTGACTTTTATTGAATTTGGCACACTTTATCTCTGCCCTTTATTTACATTGACATGTGCTAATAAAGGAATTAAAGTCCTCGCCTCTTTATGATGCATTTTTGTCCTAAATATTTCTTTTCCAGTTTGGTTCCTTGTATAATTGCATATGCCTAAGTACTTCCCCACAAATGCGGATTAGGATGCAAAGTAGCAATGTGTCTTCTTAGAGAAACAGTAATGCCAGTAAACAGATGTATTCACATATTCAAATCAAAATGCATATTTACATAACATTTTGCAAATATAAAAAAAATGAAAACATACAACAGAGAAGTTGAAACAAAGGAAAACATTTATAGATGCACAGTGAAGATAGCAAATACACCAGAGAATACATACATGATTCCAAAAAAAGTACACAAACATTCAGGCATCATTTACAGGGTTAAAAATCCTGCCAATATTGAAAATAGAACATAAAGAATTATGTCCTTCAGCATTATAAAGCTGCATTATGAAGAATGAAATACATATAATCCCAAACACTCTCCCTGAAGCTATACATAGCTCTTGATTGGTTTTCCAGAAATTTAATTAAATAAAGTGACTTTGTACTTGCTTCCCTGAGAGTAAACAATATTGTAATACAAACTCACATGTATTCTTATGCACACAAATATATGCTTGACAAACATGTGCAAACTAACAGTAAAACAGAAGCTTGTGTAATTGTGCATGCAAAAACATGGCTAGAAATACGCAAAATTAAACATAGACCCATCTGTTTGTTGCAGTGTTGCAGCACCCAAATAACATGCTCTCTTGCACTGACTTGGGGTGCTTTTACCCAGGTATTTCAAGGCAGCTGTATCATTATCTCACAAGAAATAGGGTTTTAGAAAAATAAGCAATGGGACGGGTGTTTGCCATTCCAGGGAAGAGAGTGTCATCCTTGAGAAGTTGCTCTTGTTAGATCAATGAAGCATAAACTTCTCCCAAATTCACAACACGACAGAATTGTTTTACAGGAACATAGATCTCTTGTCCTCTCTGACTGGGACAGCTCAGAACTACCGGCTATGACCAACAAGCATTATGTCCCTATTTCCAATAAGTGAACAGTGTCAGCAAGCAGTTGTAACCTTCCCATGCTTATTTCTACTGTCTTAATTTTAACAGCAGGCTGGTAATGTTTGCTAGCTCCCTGATTTTTTTTCCCACTCCTAGTGCACTCTTTCTGCTCTCTTTAGTGCGTGCATTTCCCTGCTTTCCTATGAGTTTGTGATTGTTGTTCACTCCATTGCCTTGTCTTTGCCTTGAGATAAGCTGCACTTATTCTGATCAAGGTTTCTAACCACCCCCATTTCTGCACAACCCAACATTTCCTATTAGATTAAACACAGTTGTTGTTGTTTACCCCCCTTCCAGATCTCTCTCAAACTTACTTCCCCAGCTCTTCAAAGAGCTGATATTCTTCTGTAAACCGGTTGCAGGTGATGGTTGCCATCCTGGGTGGTGACTGTCTCTCCTGGCGTGAAGTTTAACACTGGGCACCGTTTCTGCCTTGAGCACACGCGTTCTCCTTTTGCTCTTTGCTTCTAGTGCTGTTTGCCTCTCGGAGGTAAATAAGTGAATATGTATGATTGACAAGCCTGGAGATAATGATGAGGGCAATTTGTCTTCTCAGTCTCCCAAGCCTTCGTCAGCATCCAGTTCTCCATAGCAACCACCTCCGGAACGCCCTGGTTCTGTTGCCCGGGTAACTACTTCCCAAACACCTGCTTTGCTTGCCGCTTCTGCAGCTCTCTTACGCCCTGAGTCTGTGAGTGGGGAAGCTGCATCTTGAGCTGGACAAGAGGTAGATTGAAGGAAAAGGCTTTTGGAAACAGCGAGCCAACAAAAGTCAATATTAAAATACAATTAGTTCACACAAATAAGAATTAATTAGGTCAAAAAGATTACTATGGAAACTGCAGCTTCCACATTACAAGATGGTATTCAGAAAGACAGGATGTTGTTGCCCTGGTAACTGCATCTTTTACTCCAGAAAGACAGGTGTTGCTGGGTTGCCTGGCAACTGCAATAGTTCTAAGATTTAAGGAAACATGATGCTACCTTCAGTCACAGCTTCTTAGGAAAGATGGGATAAGGGCTACTTCTGCAGCTTCCTTTTGGTATAACTCAGGGTAATTAGAAGTAAATTCTTTTAAAGGTCTTCTAGTGATTCTGTGCTTTGGGAATAAATGAAATACAGCAGAAAGTATCAGTGTTTCTCAAATTTCAATAGGGGGAGCAGCTAAAACTAAAGTTGATCTAGACTCTGAAAAATCTTCTGGAACACAGCTACTGAGCTTTATTCCCAATGGAGTATCTGGCCCAGATTTCTTGCACTTTCTGTTTTGGCACTTGTTTTGTTTTTGAATTGCTCCATGAGAAAGAGTTCATGATGCACTTGTTAGCTATATGCAGCTGCTATTATGGAAAAGAACTCAGATGGAAAGACATAGTGCCTAGCAGACATCAGTCTCTAAGTGGGAGTGATTGTGGATTATGGCTTGGTTAAGGATCCTGAATACTATGCAACACATTGATAGTGTGACATTAATCTTAAAATCTTGCCCCTAAACAGTTCAGAATGGGACGATAGAAACTATTCACAGATTAAGGTTGCTTTTAATAATGCTGTATAGTGAAAAATTATTATTCATGTTCATGTATTCGTCATTTTTCTAAGAATGAAGAGAACTCAGCCATGTTGGATGGAAAATGCATACAGTCCTTATTCTTTGTTTTTACATTTTTTAAATGTTCTCATTAGGGTAATTGTTGTTCTTCCACCATAATTATGAAAATACATAAAAAGAAACTAAATCTGAGACTATTTCATTTCTTTTAATTGCATACAAGTACTCCTATTTCTTCTATTATGATGTACATTAAAGTGGTTTGGTTATATGGAGAGACTGAATGAGGACTGAATCACAACTAAATATAGGAAGGAAGACTCAGTGGGACAGAGGAAGGCAAAGATCAGAATGTTGTGGCTGGACAGACTTGATGAGGACCTCAAAGAAAGAGAGAAATTGCGAGAACAAAAAGTGTTGTCAGTCCATGGACATGATGCAAACATAGAAAGTTTGGGAGAGGTATGAGCCAAGGTGACACAGTAGTTAGAATGCAGTACTGCAGACTGACTCTACCAACTGCAGGTAGTTTGGTCCTGACCAGCTCACAGTTGCCTCAGCCTTCCATCCTTCCAAAGTCGGTAAAATGAGGACCCAGATTAGTGGGGGCAATATATTGACTCTGAAAACTGCTCAGAGTGTGCGGTAAAGCTCTGTGGAGCGATATATTCAAGTCTAAGTGCTATTCCTATAATGAATATACCACAAACACATGCTCGTTGTTTTATTTAATGAAGTAAAATGAAGAAAGATGCTGAAAAAAACAAGGAAAAATATAAAAATGCAATTACAACAAGATAAATTGTACATATAAGACCTTCTTATGCATATATGGATGCAAATATAGTATGTGAGATATTTCACATAACAATTTCAATAAAGAAAAACATATTTCACTGTAACTCTCCATGCACAATCTTTGTCTGTAGAAATCTTACTCATAGAATGAAGGTAACATCGTATCTTTGACTCAATGAATAATTTGGGCCGTATATTTGTTATCCAGTGTTGAAGAAAAATAATAGCTAATGATTATTTAGCAATAATAAAGACATATTTGGTTGTCCATTCCCAACCCACTGGGAAGGCCACTTCCTTCTGTCTTTTCCTGGTGTACGTAAAAAGTGGCATTTGATACTTTTGGTGGTGCACACCATGCTGATTCACCAACATTTCACTTCATTGTGGCAAATGCTGTTGTGCCAATTTGCTACTATGTCTATGTGGCAGGAACAACCCCCTTCCCTGTGGTTACTGGTCACTTCTTCCATGGTGAAAGACTGTGACGGGGAGGGGATCCCATCATTGTACAAATTCAGCTGTGAACTTCCGCCAATCCACAGGTGGCTTGATGGCCAGCTGACTGGTACAGTAGGCCCGCATCTCAAGGTCTTCTCCAGCTTTCCTTGCAACTGTCTCCTAGATAAGGAGATGCATTCCATACTCAGAGGGAGGAGGCCAGATAAAGAAAGAGGAAAGCAAAAGTTATCAACATATTCCCCCATGTACCCCCTCCCCCAACAGAATAGCAGGCCCCAAAAGAATAGAAGACAAAAATCTACGAGAAAATTTTTATAAAATGTTTTATAGGTGGCACCTTGATCCACAAAAGATGTCTCGTATGTATCCAAATGTGCAGCCTAAATGTTGGAGATGTGGTTGTTTGGATGCAACGTACTGTCATATTTGGTGGTCATGTAGAAATATAAAGGCTTTTTGGATTAAGATTTGGTGGAACATTCAGAAGATTTTTAATAGAAGGATAAAATTTACACCACAATTGTTTTTGTTAGGTATTATTGTTGATTGTGATGATAAAGAAATTATTCTAATGTTGAATTTAATTACAGCGGCAAGGTTGCTGATTGGGCAATATTGGAAGAAGGATTCTTTGCCTACTTTAGAAGAATGGATTCTTAAAGTTTCTTATTTATCTGAAATGGCAAAAATTTCGGCTTATCTGAAAGATCAATCGCAAGAGAAATATATTTTGGTGTGGAAAAGATGGGTGAATTTTATACAGAATAAATATGAGATTAGAAAGTATTACTTAGCTTTTGAATAATCTATGTTTGAGGGTAATGGTTAGAATCTCTGCTTTTATGTACTGGAGTTAAAGTATTTAAAATTTTGTTTTTTGGATGTATGTATAATTGTTTGATGTTCATTTAAGTTGTATGTTTTTTGTTGTTTTTAACCCTGTATTCAGCTCTGGGAAGGAGGGGGGAGGGTGATGGGGGGTGGGAGAGGGGGTGTATTTTATTGTAAAACTTTAAAAATTTTCAATAAATTTTTTTTTAAAAAAAAAAGAATAGAAGACAAAAGAGAATAGGTGAGGGGTTTTGGGGTCTGACATCTGGCCCCCCTAAAAACAGGGAGTGTACCTGAAAGACAAAAGAGGGAAGGGAAAAACAGCAAACAAATAATTTAGGTTTATCAGGATATAAGGAGTGAAAATGTTGAGGCAATCTAGGGGTTCTAACATGCTTCTTGTACACCCATTCATTCTGGGAGGCAGGGAGATTTTTCTACGAAACTAGATATTGAGTCACTCCATGATGGGTTCTAGAGTCCAAAATGTCTTTACTTGCAAAATGTTGTTCACCCTCAACCATAATGGGTGTAGGTAACAGCAGAGCAGGGGGCCTGAGAATGGAGATGACTTTTGGTTTCATCAAGCTGCAATGGAACACCAGGTGAATTTTTCGTAGACAAAGAAAGAGGAAAGCGAAAGTTAGCAACATATTCCCCCATGCACCCCCTCCCCCAACAGAATGGCAGGCCCCCCAAAGAATAAAAGAATAGATGAGGGGTTTGGGGGTCTGACACAATGCAACAATGAAATAGAAGCCTTTAAAAATCAAGTGAAATTGGTAGTCCTTCTAGTACTTTCCCCCTTTAGACAAAATAAGTGTAAAAACTGAATCTTTCCTTCCTATCCACTGGTACCAGAAGGAAAAACATCAAATAAAAGAGGGGTGGTAGAAAAATCTAAGAGTTCAATCAAATTGTCTATCGTTGGGAACTGCATGTTCTCAAAGATCCACTCATGAATAGAAAGCAATAGGTGGTGCTTTTCCCTGAAATGGGAGGAATAAAGAACAGAGGAATTTACGAGTCAAGATTCATCAAAGCAGAGGAAAGTGTTAAAATTTGGAATGGGATGCCTTAAGCTGATTTTGTTTCTAGTTGGTTCATGCCCAGAAGAGCAAGAAATGTAATGTTGCAGTGCCAAAAAGCGCTTTATCATATATTTTAAATATTGCATCTAACAGGTACCAATATCAATATTGTGAACATCAATATTTTCAAAACAAGATTCTACCTGTTATGGCTACATTGATAAACATGAAACTTATAAATAATGACTTTGTGAAGAATGGTGGACTGATGATAACTCTGGAAAGATGGGCTCAAAATTGTAGCTAAGAACAGGGAACTGACAAGCAGATCAGTTCCTTCGATATTCTCTGGACAAAGAAAGGATGTGAGATTGCCCAGGCTGTACTCCATATTCAGTACTTGTTTCTCACAAGGAGACTGCAAGGCAGTGGTCATTGGAGGGTGGGAGACCACATAGCTGAAGGAATTTGCCATACTTGCGCCAGCTGCAATTGGAGCCTTCAAAGGACTTCATATGTACTTCCTTTGCTAATCACTTTTGGAAATTGCCTCTGGCTACTTTTAAGAGAGAGACACCTTCAAAATGTCAAAACTAGAACACCAGTCCTTAATATAAGAAAATGAAACTTTCTTTAAGGTTCTAAGAATTCAAAATAAGCAGCAAAAAGAAAGACAAGGTTTTGGCTATAGGCTGTAGAAAGTTTTAAACAGATTAAGGGCTCTGTAAACAATTGGATATTTGATTTAGAGCATTCAGACTTTAAAATTAATTATAAAGAATAAATATATTTTATTGGGAAGAAAAATATTTTTTAATATTGGAGACATAACAAGATAACTTATAATTGCATTCAGACACATTTTTGAGGAATAGCATTGGGTTCTTGAATCATTGATGTCAGCTGT